CCACTCTAGTAGCATCAAACCATACCACACAGATGCTAGCAAGAAAACTAGGTTGAAGTGGTATGTTGACATGGTTGAGCGGGGTTTGCTTGGTGATCCAAGATTTAAGGATTTTTTTGACTTTGTGTTCATTGATGAAAAATGGTTCTACCTCTCTCAAAAATCTGAGAAATATTACTTGCTACCCGATGAAGATGAACCACATCGCACTGTAAGAACAAGAATTACATCCCTAGGCTCATGTTTTTGTGTGTTTGTGCTCGGCCAAGGTTTAGGAATGGAGAATGTGTTTTTGATGGGAAAATTGGTTGTTTTCCACTTGTCACTTATAGACATGCTGTTAGAAGTAGTGGGAATCGTCTTCGTGGAGAAGAAGTAATCAAGCCAATAATTTCAATCACAAGAGATGTGCTTAGAGATTTCATGGTAAACAAAGTGTTGCCTGCCATTCGAGCCAAATGGCCAATAGAAGATGTGAACAAACCAATTTTCATACAACAAGATAATGCACCTTCCCATTTAAAAGTGGATGATCCTGTTTTTTGTGAGGCCACTAAGCAAGAAGGGTTTGACATTCGCCTCTTTGTCAACCACCAAATTCTTCGGATTTTAACATTCTAGACTTGGGGTTTTTTCGAGCCATCCAAGCCATTCAGTACAAGAAGGGAGCAAAAACAATAAAAGATCTAGTTCCAACAGTCCAACAGGTAAATTGATCAATTGTTCACTTGTTTCATTGTTTCTTGAATAGCTAATGTTCTCATTGATTGATTTCTTGAACTAATGTTTTGTAGGCATTCTTAGAGTACTCTCCATGGAAAGCAAACAGGATTTTTGTAACACTTCAGAGTGTTTTGAAGGAAGCCATGAAGTTTAAAGGAGGCAACAAGATCAAGATTACTCACATGCAAAAAGAAAAACTAGGGAGAGAAGATCGGCTACCATTGCAAATCTCATGCGAACCTTCCTTGCTAGCTGAAGCCATTGCTAATCTCCCTGCAAATTAGAAGATGCAAGTTAGTTTATTAAGGAAATTAGAAGAAGCAAATTAGGAGATGCAAGTATGAAGTATCTTAGGTTAAATGCATGTACCTTATTGGTCTTTGTTTGCTTCTTCTCAATGTGCTCTTCCAACTTCTTTATAACTTGCTCGGGCAGAATGATGGTGTTACCATCCATTTGAAGATTCTCCACATCAGGAATGTAAATCTCACAATCAAACTTTTCCATGTCATGCAACCACCTTGCTGGCATATCGTAGTCTTCATGTAAAAGGCCACAACGGGCACAGCTGCGAGCGTGACGGTGAGCTTGGAAGTAGGCTTCTCCGAAGATGCCACTAGCGTGGAACGTGCCGCAGCGAGCACACAGAAACTCGACGGAGTCCGGCACGACGTTGATGGAGTCCGGCACGACGTCGACGGAGTCCGACGCGCCGTCGACCTCGACGGAGTTCAACGCCATCTCCGAGTCCAGCGCCTTGACGGAGTCCGGCACGACGTCGACGGAGTCCGACGCGCCGTCGACCTCGACGGAGTTCAACGCCATCCCCGAGTCCAGTGTCTCGACGGACTCCAGTGCCACCTCGACGGAGTCCGGCACGACGTCGACAGAGTCCGGCGCGCCGTCGACCTGCGAGTCTGGCGCCTCCTCCGAAGCTGCCGCCATCTCTGAGTCCATCGCCATCTCCAAAACCCTAAATATAAGCGGACGGTTTGCTTGTTGCTGCTGCTGCTTGCTTGCTTACGTCCGGCCGGTTTGCTTGTTGCTGCTGCTGCTCTCTTGCTTGCGCAGCCGGCCGGTCGCATGCCGTGTAACGAGGCGACGCATGCAGCGAAACGAGGTGAGCGCTGACTGGGAAACGAGGAGACGCAACTGGAAAAAAATTTGGTGCAGACCGGCTGCAAACCAACGCCGCTGTAGCCCCGACCTAGATAGATGCCGCGTGGATAGGCTATCGATCTAACAGCGAGATTCGCTCGGCTCCAAGCAAGTGATATCGGCGCGTCCGGCTCGATTCCCTTTCGGCTCGCTCGATAAGACTGTCTCGGCTCGCTCATCCACAATCCCCTCCCTCGTCTGCCCATCTCTCTCGTCTGCCGCCGCGTTCGCCCGTCCATCTCCCTCACTAAAGACGGCCGGCCGGGCCAGCAAGGGTGAGCACGAGACACGCGTTCCTCTCCACCTCCCTGTCTCCTGGCCATGGGCGCCGTCGGTGACGGCAGCGAATCCAGTGATGGCCGGGTCGGCAATGGTGAGCATGAGGCGCGTTCTTCTCTCGGCGATGGTGGCGGGCCCAGAAAGGTTGGTGTCGGCGAACGTGAGGAAGCGACTGCTCTATCTGTTCCTGGTCACTCTGCACGCGTACCTAGCCGTCGACCACCATCAACACATTGGTATAGAGAGCTGTAGTTTTGCAGTGTCAGTGTGTACACCCCCATCCAGCGTGTGTACATTTCATCAGATTAGTAGTTAAATCCATATATTGATTTGCGAGATCGGAGCAACGAGCACGGCAAACCAGGATGGGTGGTGGCTGCACATGTTTACAAGCTTAATTAGGTAGAGATCAGAGCGTTTTTATGTTGTTTGTGATGAGCCTAATGTTCAGTACGTACGTCTGAAATTCAGAAGATGGCATCTAAATGTTGTTCAGAGTTTTTTCAATTGTTTCCCATACCTTGAATTACATAAAAAGTAGACCTCCATCCATTCCATGACAAAAATCCTCATTCTCTTGTAGGTTCTTAGCCTGATGGAGCAATGGCGGTTCTCTATCTTTTGTGAAAAATATAGAAGAGGGAAATACTCTGCATGTCACCCTGTGGTTCTCTATGTTTTGGGCAAAATACAGAAGAGAGAAATGCTCTGCCTGAAAGGACTGTAAATGTGGCAAAAGAGGATTGTAGTTTGTTGATTATAGACTTTCTTTGTAATCTGTAAATTGTAGAGTTTGCAAGGATTTATGCTGCAAGCTGTAATCTGCACTTTTTTGGTCAATTTGCAAGGTATAAATGTGCAATATATTCTTTAATCTGAAATATACATGGCATGTTGGGTGTTCTGAATCATGCAATGTGATGGATGTGTTAAAAAAAGTGATTTTTCTCTTATTCAATACCTTTGAAAAATTCAATATAGAAAATTATGCAATCTGAAATCATGAAGGTAAAATCTGAAATGTGATGTCTAAAAACTGATCCTTCTCAAACGTTGGTACCAAATTCATTGTCACAAATGACAGTGTAAATAAAAATAATCATTTGCTGCCATGCCATGTGCTAGTGCAGGCGAAAATGGCTGATGTCCGGTCACAAGAAACCCCGTGGCTGGATCCTTCCCTTGCCCTCCTCTTGCCATGGTGGTTACGTCATCCATGAAGCTTCTGTCATGGCGGCAGCGGTTGCCGGCGATTTTGGCCGCGATCTGGCGAGACGTCTCTCTTCGCGTCCCCGCGTGATCTAGGGTATCGAAATAATATGTTGATTCATCTACTCGAACGCGCCGAGCCAAGCACGCCCCTTTCCACGGAGTCGAACGAGCCGAGCCGCCGAACGTCCACTCTGGGCATATTCATGGCAAGTGTTCGATTAGACTTCTGTCCACGCGGCATCTATCCAGGTTGGGGCTGCAGCGCGTTGGTTTGCAGCCGGTCTGCACCAAATTTTTTTTCCTAATAGGATGCACCAAATAACTACGCTTGCAGCGAAACGAGGCGGCGAGGGGCAATCGCATCCATACATGACCCCGCGGGCGAACAGCAACTTCTTTTGCGAAAACGGACCAAGGCATTAGAACGACTTTTAATATGAGTATGAAGGAAGTATCTATTTAATATAATTAACATACTTAAAATATGTAAGTTTTTTGCAGAAATCACCCGATTATTGTTCATATCCGATTATTGTTCCGTCACTAGCTAATCGTTCGCTGTTGTACCCGATCATTCGTCCTCAGCACATCAATCGGTCATCGAACCGTGTGGTTTAGGTATGGCTCAACGCCCATTGTCCATCATGACCAGGCCTGCATGATGGACAATCTCTCGAGAAAAACCTTAAGACACAAACTTTCTTTACAACACAAGACACGGTGTGTTTAGTTCACACCAAAATTAGAAGTTTGATTGAAATTGAATACGATGTGACAGAAAAGTTAGAAGTTTGTGTGTGTAGGAAAGTTTTGATGTGATGAAAAATTTGGAAGTTTGAAGAAAAAGTTGGGAACTAGGCCTTGCCTAGGATTGATCGTGCATCCCACATAATATGAGACACTAGAAGACCATGCTCTATTTAAATCATGATTTCCACACAACGCAATTCAACAAACAGATTGTATTCTATTTTCCAAAATTTACAGCTTATGATTTTCTAAAAAGAAAATATTCAAGTAATTCCCACAGTGAATTTGGCCCTAAATTCACACAGTGAATTTGACCCTAATTAAATTGTATAACAATGACACAATTAAAATAGCCTTCACCTTGTAACACACAGGTATTTTTTCTAGTGGTAGAAAAAAAAATTGTCACTAAAATATATATTACTCCCATCTAAAATATACTCTGTGTTTTGTAAGTGTTTTATACTACAAGAACGTTAGTCTCTCCATCACCCGTCTAGATACACTAACATCCGTATGAAATTCGACACATATACGAAGCACATGCATAAATCCATTCAAAACCCAAAACGTCAAAGCATCTTACAATATGAAAAACTACTTTTAGCTACTGGTCAGGGAATGCCGTTCCACCCCAACAAGCAGCGCCTGGAGGGCCTTCCAAGTTGCAATGATGAAGGGGAAAAAAACAGTTACGTAGCTGACACCAAATGATCCAACATTCTGAACATACTGCTGAAGGTTCTCTCTTTTTATTCCACTTTCGCTGTTTCTTTCACATATTAACACAATGGCGGATCTACAATTCCGACAAAATTGCACCTAACAATCTAACATAACTTAAACCTGTCAAAATGACGAGTTATCCATTAAGCCGCAACATAATCCACAATTCCACATGGTCCATTCTACCTTTTTGAAAAAAAGCACCTGAGTTGATATAGAACTGAAAGTTCTAAGGACAGTGAAGTGTGGATCCTATAACAATGGCATATGATACCAATTTTTCTGCTTATACAGAAATCACAATTTGAACTTGATAAAGATTGATAGCCTATACAAACAAGGACTAAACTTGGCTACTCCCTTTGTTCTGGCACAAGAATTTTGAAGCTTGCTATTTTTACATCCACTAGAAATGTTCAAAATCCTGTCTACTGGGTATATCTAGAGTTCTAGACATCAAACTGACTACTTTAAATAAAGAATAATGAATACAATATTTGACTGAAGCTTCTAACATCATACTTGTATGGACAATCTATCTTATCTAGATATTACCCATGTGTTGGACTTCAAAAGCGAACGAAGTTGGCTCCATAAGGAAATTTTAGAACCAAAGAGTCGCACATGGACAGATTTTTTTGATCCTCCCCTAACAAATTCCAGCTCCCTTGATACACCATTTTCAGCATAGCTGGGTTCTTCAAGAAATGGAACTGCAACTGAACCCTCAGATTCGACATTCTTTAGCCATCCTCTGAGTAAGTAGTTTATAACCTGTCCAAAGACCAAAATCATATGTAAAGGACATATATATATTTTGTCATCACAGAGACAATCCTTAAGCAGTTTTCATGAATGATTAAACAGAAGAAGGCACTCTCAAAAATAGGAATATGTGAGGAGTAAAATGTGAAACATATATCTTTATATAAATGCAGAAAATTGAACTAACTCTACAGATTAAAAAAGGAAAGAAAAAAAACATAGAACATGTCTTGCCACTTTTTTTCGCCGGGAAGGCCAAAGGAGGCCATCCGAATGCATTAAGGAGAAAAAGTTACAAGAAAAAACACAACAGAAAGCTGTCGAGGACGGATGCGCACCACAGGGCACGTCCTAAAACCACACGCTAACCACAAAAGCACAAACCACTGAGTGAAGCCTAGCACCAAAACGACCCTCGCTATGCGTGGCTGATCGCCGCTAGGCCCACGACAACACCACAAAGACGAGACTTCGAAAACGATGCCACCACGGAGGTCACGCCATCAAGGACGGCACCATCGCCCACCTTCTAACAAAGATGTGGTTTTCACCTAGAGAAAACTTGCCGAGGAAGAGAGGTACCCTCGCACCGCCCCAAGGGGTTACGATGCCTGAAGGCGCCCAGTGATCCACCAGGCAAGGCTTTTTCCTGGAACCTACAACCTCAACCATATAATGTCTTGTAACTTCAAAGGAGAAAACTAGGGAACTTAAACACACTCAACCATAAAAAAATTAGTGCCCCAAGGTGTCTTTGTATCAAATGCATGCTACAGAATTAAACAAAAACTGCAGAAAAAATGTTAAGCTTACAAATGGTACAATCCATATTCATTGCCCTAGCAGAAAATCCTATCATGAGGAATTCGCAAACAGTTGTGATTCTTGGGCTTCCCTGGTACCCCACCTAAAGATAGCATCTGACAACCTGTTGTGCTGATCCAGATCTGATTCCACTAATAGCATTTAGCTTCTAAGATACAGCTGCCTATCTTTGTAGAAACTCATAGCTAAGGCTGCAGTCCCATATAATGGCCATTGGTTGTATACCGAAATTTCTAGATTTAAATAGAGATTTCAAATGTTGGTCAAAACAAACTAGATACTGATACAAATTTCCTCCAGTTTTTGTTCCATAGTTTCTTATGTGTAATCAACATGGATGATATTCAGAGAACATGACCTTTCTTAAACACACACAGCCCACCAGCCACAGTATCCACCCAAAACAGAATGCACGGCTACAAAATGAACTATCAACTATCTGGTACAAACTAAATATGACGAGCTTTATTTCCAAACACAATGAATGTTTTACCTCAGGAACCTCATCATGAGGGCAGTGACCAGCAGGACTGATTTCGTAATACGGTGATTCTGGCACCTGCTGTTTCACTTTAATACCCCAAATAGGTCTAACCCAAGGATCTTCTCTCCCATACATAAGAGATATGGGAATACCCTGCCTTTGGCACCTGCAGATTATGAAATGTAAAAATACAAAATCGTATTTTGTAAGCAACATGGCAATTCATCAAATAGTATATCCAGTTTACCTAGATAGAGCTTCTTCGAAGGATATTTGTCCCTTTGGAGCACACATAATGGATGCAAATGATGCAGCAGCTGCTGGATGTTGTGTTGTCTCTATAATACGCGAGAACACCATGTCCACATTCGTTGAGTGGTCAGCATATACTTGCTTGAGTATGCCCTGTATACTTCTTGGATCACTTATTTTCTGCCACCTGCACCAAAAAGATATTAAATGAGATCCACCAAATTTATATCACCACATGGATAACTTGCATAGTTCTAAATGATGCAGGGACCACACAATTGCTATTGAATAACAGCTTGTTTAATCTGTTAAAACACCAATACATTGCACAGCCTACCATCCTAACATGAGAGAGGAATGACAATGTAAAAGGAAAAATAATGGCAGAAAATGACATACAGAAATATACTTTATATCTAGGTGTGATTTTATAAAAAAACACGTTTTTTTTTTGAAAAAACAATTATTAGCTATACTTATAGTACCATATGCAAACTAAACATAGTCTAAATCGTTTCTTCACTGGTGAAGTATGCAATCAATTTCTGTCAAAACAAAAGGTAGCAATCTACAGATGCTATGCCTTGCTACAAGTATCATAAAACTTTTGCATTCCATGCATTCATTATAATGAAAAAAAATAGTACACCAATAATTAGCAGAAGGGATAAATTTAAGATTATTCAATATCAATATGCACATGTGTTTCCCAAAACCTAAAGGGTAGCACATACACTGTTTCAGTAAGTTTCCTCACAAACGATGGAAGTGGAAATGTCCCAGCCCATGGAAAAATCTTCGACAAGCGAGGAGATGTAGCAGGGTTGGGAAGGAATCCCCAAAATGGGGTTGCATTAAGTAATGTGACACCCTTTACAAGGTGTGGACAGGATGCAGCAAGATATAGAGAAACAAAACCTCCCAGAGAGTTCCCCACAATATATACTGGTTCACCAATAACCTGAAAGAAGGTTACAAAATTAGCATAAGAAACATATGATATGAATCTCATGGTAGGACTGTTATGGATAAGTAAACTTAAGAACTTTGGCATTACACATAATAACACAAATGTCAAACCTGCTATATGAGATTGGGAACAGGGCTCCTTTGCTCTCTATTCTAGATACTGGAATAAAAGAATGTGTTACAAGTGTGTGTGCCAAAAAACAGGGCACCTGCTTTGGGCAACATAACGGTTCTTATATTCTATTAACCGAATATGAAACGCTGAAGTTTGTGAGATTCAAGAATCTTCAATAACTAATAAATAGCTATTATTGCAGGCCCTTCAAAGAGTGCAAAGCATACTAGGATTTGTGAACTAAAGATGATATTTTTTTAGCAAAGTAAACATAAAACTACACAGAAAATAGTTGAAAGAAGTACCTCTTCAATAAAATGCTGAACTTGGTCACGCCACAAATCTATCGAATACACCAACTCCTCCGCCCATGGTTGTAATTCTTGTCCAAAACCCCAATATGTGTCCTCATCTAGCTCTCCTGATGTGCTCTTAGGAGCAGGATCTTCACATGGCAACGACATGCCCTGCCCTAGAAAATCCATTGTCCATACTTTGTAATCACGGCCAAGATCCTTCAATTGCTTCTCAAAATGGAACGTTCCCACTCCAAAACCTGGTAGAAAGAGCACAGACGGTGCCTTGCTATTGTCTATGCCAGACTTTTCATAATATACACTCAGCTTCGGCTTCCATTCCCAGAAACCAGTACTAATTAGAGAGCTTTCAGGTCCTTCTGGCAAGCTCGGAATGATCATCTTCTCGATCTCACCGACTTTCTTCGGGATCCCTTGGAGAGCTGCATCGACATCACTTACATAGAACCCATGGCTCGCATGAACTTTCCCAGAATCAGCAGGATTCGAAGCTGTCCCTGACCGCACACAAAGAATTGCACTTCTTGGCCGAGTGAGCTTTGCATGCCCTGGACCAAGACCATTCCCCGGAAACCTCCAAGCACTGCTAGGTGTTCGGTTAAATGCCAAGCAGGAGTGGCTGGAAGAAACCACTTCCATGGCCACACTAGTGGCTAGCACGCTAGTTCTGCAACAGATAAACCGAAAGATACGTTTAAAAGAGCGAACTCGAAAAACTGAAACCAAGAACTATCAGCCTTCAGATTAATTTGATCGGGAGAACCGAAACCAAAATTTTAACTGTATCAAACAGATGGGTTAAGTTCTCGAGAATAAAACTAATCTACACAGCGAAAATGAGCTTCGACCAGCCAGCAAACCAATTCCAAATCCAGCAATTCATGCGAAACCCGGGAACTGTTCCCCGCACGAGTAGTACACACATGCCAGGGAGTCCCCAGGAAGAAAAAAAGACATAGCAAACACCTAATTACAGATTACTCTCTCCTAGTGAGAAATCGGTGAATCATACCTGAAAATCGACACCTATTTCTCAGGTGATTTGGAGAAGAACACTTCGCAAAAACTAAACTAGTAGAACTGCGAGCTCAGAACGGAGAGGGAGCGGGCAGCTGAGCTCGCTTATAGGGCGCGAGATGCGATGGGGAGGGGCGGAGGTGGGAACCACCGCGCAGCGAGACGGTTCCTCCGGCGACCTCGTGGTCTCGCTTGCCCATGCGTGCACGTCATCCTCGGGTGGACGAGAGGAGTGGAGGAGGCGAGCCCAACGCTGCGCGGGGGCCAGCACGTGGACATCGTCCACCGTGAGCCAGCGAGCCAAGGCCAAGATCCGCCTCCACCCGGTCTGCCGGACTAGCGTAAGCACGTGTCGAACTCGGGCTTCGAGACAATGATGGAACTACTATGGAGGAAGGGGCAGGCCCGGTCGGTTCGTTTGTTGTGCGGCCTGGTAGTTAGGAGAGGTTTGCAAGCAAACGCGCGGAAAATGACCGGGATTTTGGCCGTTTTGCGGAGAATTCCAGGTATTGACGGCAGCGCGTTTACTACGCGATGCACATTGGGTAGTATTGGATATTTTGCAGACTCGTCGTACGAATTCAGAGCCATTTTATCGGGGAGAGAAACGCGTGGTAAAATTCGAGTATTTGCTTCCGTGCTCCCGACGGGTAGAAGGAATTGAGCCATGTTATCTAGCGAATATAGCGGAGGAGAATTGCAGCCGTCTAAAAAAATGAAAGCTTCCAGATGGAGGAAAAAAAAGAAGGAAGAAGAGAGAAATTATTAAATCCCATGAATAAGACTATCAGATTTGACGTCGTAAGTGTTGGGTACGCTCAGATATCCACCACCTTAGCACCAACCGATCCAGAGGACAGATGTTGTTGGACCTACTTCTCTGCTTAGATCTGGGTGTCCCGACGCTTGCCATGCCATCCATGTGTAAGAAGAGATGGCGGTGGTAGAGAGCAAGGAGAAGAGGTCGAATCGGGCCATTTGATTAGCTACAACATCATGTGGTTTTAGCTAAAGTTATTAGGAGGCTTAAGCCATGTTTAGAAACATTAGTACACTATTGGGATAATTAATGCTTCATCTATAATTAATTATGGCCATTTAATAATAGCTCACAATGATTAATCATTATTAGTTAATTAATCTTAACAACTAAAACCATATTCATGGTAGGTTGTGAGCATATGGTTTTGATGGTCGTGCTCATGACAATTAAGGACTGGTTCACGAGCTACTATTGTGAAGCACTAATTGTACTAACCACAAGCCAACATGGGTAATAGCTAGGTTTGTAGTATAATACATTCAACAGGAGACACCAAGGTATGTTGTTGTTCTTTTATCGTGGCAGACAATAAGTCCACAAGTGGTAGGCAATTAAGTGCTGGGTTTGTGGTATGCTTTCTCATTCATTCATTGTCTCAAGTGTACAATAGTGAGACTCCTCCCTCTATTTATAGGCATAACCATAAGTTCCTTTCCATATTAGTGAGTGGGGCAATTACTAATTGGGCTAGGCCTTCATGGGCCGGAGGTTTCCTTGTCAAAACTCTAGAAAAACCCAGTTGAAAAAAATTTGGAGAAAGAGTACATAACATACGCTTGCGATGCTGCACGAATTGCCTCAAAGACCAGGCCTGTAAGGATTGGGATTACTATTTCTACGGGCAACTATATGATTGACAAGGAGAGTAGTCCCAACACTTGCATTCAAAATGGCATTTTGATCAGTGCGTGGGAGATCACATATCGGCTAGGGAATGTTGGCTGCGAATGGCGGTTGGTCGGTTACCACTTGGGCTACGCGCTCCTCATGATCCCATCAAAGAGAGGAACATAAGAGAGGTTACAAGGTTAATGTCGAGAAGCAATTCAAGTTTTTTCAAGTTAGAAGACTTCGAATTGTATATCTCGACACGATAGCCGCTTTACATCTTGAGCCCCCATGTACTCATAGGAGGGGTGGAGATGAACTTGCGGGGGCAGAATCCGACGACGTACATAATCTTGGACAATTTTGTACCCGGTCAGACCACGTACTCAGAGGTCATTGATCTTCTCGATGAAGCTTTCTAAGGCTAGCGTCAAGAAGGGTTTTGAGGTCTACGATTTGGAATGCGTGGGTTTATCTTTAGGAACAGTCAGGCAGGGACATAGTTATCATAATTGGACCGGACCGGCAATTGGACCGGAAAAAACCGGAACCAGAGCCTCAGGTCTGGTCCAGTTAAAAGACTGGCTATGCAATTGGCCCGATATAAACCGGTTGGACCGCCCTGTTTTGTATAAAAAACGGGAAGAAAACCGGAGATGAACCGCCCGATTGCACAGGCATGGCGGTCACGTGCGTCCGGGGGACACTTGGTACAAACCCAAGACCATATGCATACAAGTGAACCAACGAACCACCAGGCTATTAAACAACTTGTGTTTAGAAGGAATAAATTATATATTTAACCTATATTGAACCGCTTTAAACCAGTGGTTCAACCGGTTGAACAAATAAACCATCGAACCGAGGGCATCACCGGTTTAATTACTGGTCCGGTCCCAATAATTATGGGCAGGGAGCGGTGTAGGGTCGATATATCGACTAGAGGGGTGAATAGGTGATTAAAATTAAATTACACCTAATCAAAATTAACTTAAATTGCTAGGCTTGGTGAGGGATAAAAATGTCTAAGCAACTAAGTTATGTTTTGCAATCCTAGGTGATATGGGCTCAAATATGTCTCTATGAATGTATATTGCACAAATGTAAATGCAATAAGTAAATGAGACAAGAGACAAGGAATTTTTCACTCGAGGTTCGGAAACTCACCGATTTCCTAATCCCCATTTGAGTCAAGCCCAACTTCACCGCTCAAAACCATGAAGCCACCGCAAGCCCCCTTCGTCAAGGGGTGGGCAAGGTGGGAGCCGACCCACGAAGTGGACTACCCAAGCCTCGATCACTAGGGGTAGTTCTTCCTTCACTCCGAAGGTAGTGAACTCCAAACCACTCACAAGCGGCGTCAGGCCTTCTCCACAATCTCCTTGGAGAGGTCACCGGGCATGAAAAGACCTTGATGTCGCCTAGAGGGGGTGAATAGGCGTTTAAAACTATTAAGAAAATGCGGAAGCTAAAATTTTAGGATATTTTGGAATATTTTCGGATATTTCAGAATATTTTCGGATATTCTGAAAATCTCAGCTTTTTAGCAAGCTAGAAAGACAAACAAAAGGGGATAAAGGCACAAGTAGATAATGGGTTTGCACAAACAGCGATTAAACTACTAGCGACACCAAATAGCAAAGTTAGACGAGTAAGAGAGAGATATCACCGGGATATTTGCAAGTTGATGTGTTACCGAAGTTCAAATCCTTGAGGGGATTCTACTCTTCGTTGAGGAGCTCACAATGAGCCGGGTCTTTTCCAACCCTATCCTCGTGAGGTTGTGTGGGAGATATGGCACCCGGGTACCCCACGGTATTGGCCCAGTCTAGGCTGGAGGGGTGGGCTGATGGCCCATGTCTAGTATGGCAAGTCTAGCATAGTTGGGCAAGAAAACAAGAATATGGTAACAAATCCCTAATCATGTAATGAAAGGCAAGTATCCAGATTGTGAGGATACGTGGCCTTGATTGGTGCCGGCGGCTTAAGATTGTATAAAGGTGGCCGGCACCCGAGCAGGAGAGGCTTCGGCTTCTCTAACCATTTTTCCACCATACACAAGAAAGAACACACTAGACATAGGGTATTACCTCTTCCCGAGGGCCTGAACCAGGATAATCCTCTGCGTCACCATCTCTCATTGATCTAGCACACCCCATAAAATATATTGCCGATCCTAGAAATCGACAGTTGGCGCGCCAGGTAGGGGGGCGCTTGATCATTTTCATCTCCCTCTGGGCCGATATCAAGCAATCCTTCGCCTACGACAAAGAGAGCTGCAACATGGCTCAATCCATCGAGATCTCCCTGCAACAACAACCTATGACTGCAAGCATCGCCGACAAGGCACCCAGCGAGCCACACCTCCCGGCAGCGAAGGCCCCGAAGCACTCCATGGGCAGCAGCAGCACGCCCACCAAGAAAGTCGCCCTCGACCCCCTGACCCCAGACAAGACCGTGATCATCGGCGCCGAGTTGGGCGACAAATAGGAAAGCGCGCTCGTTGACTTCCTTCGGGCCAACAAGGACATCTTCGCATGGAAACCGTCCGACATGCCTAGAGTGCCGAAGGAAGTCGCCGAGCACGCCCTGAACGTGCGCCCGGAGGCCAAACCCATCAAGCAGAGCCTTCGTCGTTTCGCCTCCGACCGTAAAGAAGCCATTAGGGAAGAAATTAAGAAACTCCTGGCTGCTGGTTTTTATCAAGGAAGTGTATCATCCGGATTGGCTAGCCAACCCGGTCCTTATAAGGAAAAGTAATAAACAGTGGCGAATGTGCGTTGATTACACCGATCTCAACAGGGCATGCCTGAAGGACCCCTTCGGGCTCCCACGCATCGACCAAGTGATCGACTCGATAGCCGGGTGTGAGCTGCTCTCCTTCCTCGACGCCTACTCAGGCTACCACCAGATAGCACTCAAAGAGGATGACTGCATCAAGACCTCTTTCTTCACCCCGTTTGGAGCATACTGCTACACCACCATGCCTTTCGGACTCAAGAATGCGGAGGCTACAAATCCGTAATCATGTAATGAAAGACAAGTATCCAGATTGTGAGGATACAGGGCCTTGATTGGTGCCGGCGGCTTGAGATTGTATAAAGGTGGCCAGCACCCAAGTGGGAGAGGCTTCGGCTTCTCTAACCATTTTTCCACGATACACAAGAAAGAACACACTGGACGTAGGGTATTACCTCTTCCCGAGGGCCTGAACTAGGATAATCCTCTGCGTCACCATCTCTCCTTGATCTAGCGCACCCCGTAAAATATATTGCCGATCCTAGAAATTGACAGGTTACACAAATGCACTCCTCCTTCTACTTAGGGTATCTCTTCCCTTTCGAAGGTGAGATCCGACCTTCAGAAACTCCCTCAACACACCACAAACAAATCGGTGTCTCGAGGTTGACTCCTAGCCGTCTAGGTGTCCTCAACTACCAAGAGTAATAAATGCCACAAAGATTTCTTGGGGATGAATCGAGTGCTCAACAAATCTTCACGAAGTCAACACCAAGCACTCAAACAAACTCAAATCAACCACTCTCACACA